GGCCCACAGCTGTATCTTTTTGCAGAGGGCTGAGAAATGCTGACCTGGCCAGCATCCATTCACAAGAGGAGGATGAGTTTATTCAGACTATCATTCAATACTATGACGGATATTCGTGGATTGGTTTCAATTCTTGTAAGTAATTGTAACACTGCATGCATTTTTTAAATTGCTGAATTGAGATCAATATCAAATTGTGCAAGACAGAAAGTCATTGATTCTCATCTTAATAAAGACGAGAATTATCACCTAATCATAATTAATTATGTCATTCATTCATTCATTCATTCATTCATTCATTCATTCATTCATTCATTCATTCAATCATTCATTCATTCATTCATTCATTCATTCATTCATTCATTCATTCATTCATACATTCATTCAATCAATCATTCGTTTATTTATTCATTTATTCATTCATTCATTTTTATTTCAGATATTGTCCATAACACATAATAGATACCAGTACAAGTATATTACATAGTACAACAAAGAAAGAAAAATTAATTAGAAAGCTGAGATTAACCACCGTCCGTGTACAAAACAGAAAGCCACCTATCATGTAGCTTCGAATCACAATGTACATTGATACAAATAGTGGAAACAAGTACATCATTACGGCTAGCAACCATAATCTATGAGTCAGTGTTACAAGAAGTAGGCCTACAGTATTACTCACCATACTATGGAAGACTAATTTCTAGCACCAATTTCTAATATTGTTTGTGCTTTTTGCGCTTTGACAGAAAAGAGGACTTTGAAATTGTGAGACAAATTTTATCATAGTCAACAATACTGCCATTATATTTGTCAGAAGATTCCTTTTATACAATGGGCAGTGAATCAAAGAACCACATACACACAGAATAGTTATACAGTAATCACCGATTTTAAAAGTCTATTGTGCTTTACGTTTTTTTTCCCTCTAGCTGACGAGGAACACTGGAGCGATGGAACTTACGTTAACTACAGTGTCATCGAAACTGATGCAGAAGGTGGGTGCGTTGTATACAGCCAGGAAGATCACGTATTCTCTTGGAAAACTCAACTGTGTGCATCATCACAACATGCGTACGTGTGTAAGGATATGAGAGGTAATATTTATTGTGTTAACTGTCGAGTACTGAATTGTTTCTAACGCATTGGTGTACAGTCAAAATTTGACTAATGCTACGAAGAGTTAACAATATAATGCCTTACAACATATTAGCTCAAATTCTAACATGTTTGCTCTTTTCACAGCATTAACCAAAAAACAGAATTTTCTTTACAGCATTAAACGATATTTGTTTACAGCATTAATCCCGTTTACTCTACAGCGTTAACATTTTATCCACAGCATAAAAGAAACTGGAAGTAATTTTTTCACGTATCTGACCATGATTTATGTTAAAGGGTTAACAAAGTTTTATTTCAGCTACCAAGGAATATTTCCTTTCCACTTGTTCTTTGTCTTTGATTTCAACGGAATTTGCTGTTGGAGTGTTGGATCAATCGATTACTCACAAAAAGACGGGTAAGTAAACACTCTTATTAATCTGATGTTCTTGTTACTATTTACAATAGATTATTTACGAAACAACAATCATATGCACTACTGAAGGGCCACTCATCAATAATATTGATATTGATAACAACAATAAACTTATGAATTATATTGTTAGAAAAGTAAACATTTAAAAAAATCACAAATATTTCTCTGCTAAACGAATAAACGTGTAAGGTTATGCATTATCAACCCATAGTGACATACGGTATTGATCTAAACAGGATGGGTGCATTGTTGAAGATGACTTGAATGGATAAGAACACATACTGGTAGGAAATGGAGGTAGTAAGTAGTAGTAGGTAGTAGCAGCAGCAGCAACGGCAGCGGCTGCAGCAGCGGCTGCAGCTGCCGCTGCGGTTGTTGTAGTGTAGTGGTAGTGGTAGTGAATGAATTATGCTTGTTATTATTATTATTATTATATTATTATTATTATTATTATTATTATTATTATTATTATTATTATTATTATTATTATTAGTGTTATTATTATTATTATCATTATTATTATTATCATTATTGTTATTATTATTATTATCATTATTGTTATTATTATTATTATTATTATTATTATTATTATCATTATTGATATTATTATTATTATTATTATTATTATTATTATTAGTGTTATTATTATTATCAACAAAGTTTAGGTATGTTTTTGTTTCCGCCACTGTTGCTGCTGTTGTTTCTCTGTTGCTCTTGGTGTAGTTTTGGTTGTTGTTGATCATGTTTTTTTCTGTTTTATCATTTCGTAGTCATTGATTCTTAATATATCTTAATTTTATCACAGGAAAGTGAACCCCACGGTGTGACAGCTGGAGAAGTACCACGATTCTCTCTTTATCAAGTAATTGCTGTAAACAGGAAGAACAGGCAATATTTCGCATGGAAAAAAGTTGTACTCATAAAATCTTCGTGTTAAATATGACATCCAGGAACATTTTGCAGTTTTTCAGACACCTTTCAAACATTCGGACATTAATTGCATCGATATCAAGAATAGTTTTGGTCCATAATGAAAAACAAAACCAAGAAAAATTATCCATATCATTTAACAAAAAACACTGACGTGCGTTGCTGCTTATCTGACCTGAAAGAAAAATGTATCTGGCATTGGCTACACATCCAGTTGCTAAAGTTTGTCTTAAAATTGATGTAATAAAATGTAGAATCATGCCTAGTATCGAGTGAGTCATCAATGAATGAATGGTTGGATACCTTTAAAAATGTATTTTTTCAACAGTTACCATCCCATCAGTTTTAGGAATTAGGAGCTAATGAATAAAATGAACATACGTTATGAACATTTTCGAGAGATAGAAAAGCAAGAACCTAATTTAACCAGTTAATTTATTTGTAAATAAACAATGAACAAATACGCAGATGATCTGTATTGACATTCTATACAATGTAACTGTACAATTCTGTCTTTCTATTTAGACACACAGTCGTATTTAGTATTAATAATACACACAGTTACAAATCCATACATGATACCTTGTCAACATGGCTGCCAGAACACATGAGTAGCATTTAATATGTACTCCATTGTCCTCCCGCTTTGCAAGGCTACTACCAAGACGTTTGCCTGTGTTCAGTATATTATATCTACCTCCATGATTACATTAACCATCAGTGATGCTGTATGAAAATGATTTCTGGAGGCTTACTCAATTTAAACAGAGAAACTGAACTATTTGTTTTCATAACTCATGCTGGAGGCGTGTTTTCAACATCTTCTGATTAAATATCACTTCAAAGGAAAACTTATAAGCTGAAAAATCAATGGTCACAAGTACACTAAAAATTAACTGATTCAAAAATGTTCTTATCCTACTTTGGAAACAAGGCGAAGGAGTAAAACGGATGCGTGACTGGAAATGTAATGTGAAGATGACTCTGCAGTGAATAGACACGCATATTACTGAATATTCTAACGCTCTGATTATTCTAACGTGGCGATATCTTTTTTATCTTAAATTCATAGTAGTACACAAGACGGAAAAGTGTGTATAATCTACTACAATTTTCTATAGTGTATGGTAACGGGGTAACCCCATATACAACTTACATGGTGGCACAATTAGCAGATCTATGACATTTATAGGGTACCAGTACATAGGGTACCACAAACGTGATCCCTAGGTCCGGGTGTCTCTTGAGTTTTTAGTAGGGTTAAAATAATTATTGTCTATAGTGCTTCGTCGGATTTCCAAACGGTGGAGGGTTGTAATTTAAAAAAATTATTACAAATCCTTTTAATACTTAATTATGGAGAATAATAGTAAAATAATAATGTATATGATTCTGTTTTTATCCCCTTTTCAATCATTTTAATGTTAATTAATTTTTTTTTTTTTTGTAAATTGTACGCAATTAAGCCACAAGGTACCTTGCCAATTTTGAAAATGAAATGAATGAATAAGCTTAATGGTTTAGGCTATTAGCAATATATATATATATTTTTTTAAGAAAAAACATGGCAGGCACAGTGACAGCTTTTAAAAGCAATTTTAGATAGATGAAATAAATATAATTATCTAATCTTCCAACCTTTTTAATGATTCAAAGTCTCCATAGTATGAACATTTTTAAATTTTATTACCAGCGAATTGATTTGTTAATAACTCAATTCGTAGTTGGAAACGCGTATGCTCGTATCAAGGTCAATCGATATAAACACCATACAAATTTCAACATGAGCATATGTCGATAACCTTACCTTAATATATTTTTTATATTTCTTCAATTATTCTTTTGAATGGTGAAGTGATTGCCTGGTATGTATATTAAGCGTGTTTTGAATTCTCATGACAATAGGCCTAATGGAAAAATACCCGGTCCTACCGAACCAATACCCAATCCAATAATGGAAAAATACCCGACCGAGAGCCTAGTTCTAAGTGTTTGGATTTTATATTATATAGAAAAAAAATACCAACAACAACACTACTATTCCTCCATAGCGTATGTTTTGTGTTAATTTGTGTTAATATTAGGAATTTATTATTATTGTCATTATTATTGTTATTATTATTATTATTATTATTATTATTATTATTATTATTATTGTTGTTGTTGTTGTTGTTGTTGTTGTTATTAGTATTATTAATTGTTTTATTTCGTTTTTTTATTTAATATATTCAAATAAAACATTGTATAAACCGACGCAACTGTGACTAAAATAAAATGAAAAACACAAAATATGTAAATATCTTGATAAAAAGAAAATATTATTATTATTTTTGTTATTATCTTTATCATTATTATTGTTATTATTATTTTTATATTTATTATTTTTTATATGTATTTATTTATTATTTTTATTATTATTATTATAGTGTTTGTGTGTATGTGTATTGGTAAATTATAAGAACAGTGTGGAATACATATAGAGAAATAATATGTTATATATATATATATCAGCCATATTTCATTATGTTCAGTTATATAGAATATGACTAGGGCTATATATATTTATTATAATATCCATAATTATTATTATTATTCTAATTATTATTAGTATTATTAGAGTAGGACTAGTGCCATCTGAGAATTTAAGAATGAAATTATATTTACTTTGATAGTAATTTCAACACTAACAAGACAATTAAAGATGTACCGGTATTGTCTATGCAAAGTACCAACAACTCATTTGAACATAAAAAGTGTATAAAAAATGATTAGCCACTGTTTTAGAGTAAATAAAAGACAGAAACACTTCCAGTCACTGGAGTGTTTCTTTCCTCGATAATACTTTCCTATAATTTACGTTTTTCTAGTATAAACCATCATATTAACTGCATGCCTACAAAAATAGGGCGCCTAATAGTAGGCCATATTAAAAATAAAAATCAATTAAAACAGAACATGAAAGAATCTTGCAAAACATAAGCCTATTTTGTAAAATTCCAACAATCATGTCACTAAATGCATTGTTTTCTTTATAATGTAATATTGGGTTGTTAATTGCTATTGGATTTTTGGCATGTGTGTATGTTAGCTCGTTACCTTTTTAATATTATCGGTTGCAACTATACTGAGTTGGACTGTCATAATAAATAGAGTAAATTTCTCTTTATCAGTGAAAATGTTTCGTCTTAAGCTGTTATATATACCATGTTGTTCTGTTGCATTTCTTAAGTTTTTTAAATTTAATAGGGCTAATTATATAATAGTATTATATAGTTTTTAATACTATAAAAATGAATTCCTGATATGTTATTTAAAAATTAAAAATAAATAAATAAATACACCTGATGGATGCAATACTTTATTAATGATACAAATATATATGGTGTACATTATGTAAAAGAATAATTTACTATTAGTGAATAAAAACTTTTAATTTTTAACCACTTCATTTTGCACAATAATAAAGTGTGTACATTCAATGTACTCATTCTTATTTGAATTGTATATA